ATCTGCTGCTGCGGCAACCCTTTCTGCTGCTGCTGGCTGATGAAGACGGAGAATTTAGGGCGCTGTATCAGCAGCAGCTGCTGCGCAAGCAGCAGCAGCAGCAGCAGCTGCTGCTGCAGCAGCAGCAGCAGCAGCAACAGCAGCAGGAGCAGCAGCAAGAGGCCAAAGGAGATGAAACTCAAACAGCAGCAGCAGCAGATGCTGCTGCTGCAGCAGGAGACGAAAACGTTGCAGCAAACGCTCTGGTCCCTGCAGCAGCAGCAGCAGCAGCAACAAAAAAAGCAGATACTCCACCACCACCACCTCCTGCTGCTGCTGCTGCTGCTGCTGCTGCTGCTGCTGCTGAGGAAGAGATAGATCCGCTGCTGCAGCAAATAGCGATGGTCGAAGACGCCCTAGATACGGCCCTCTCCGTGTCAGCTCCTGTCTCCTTTTTGTCTCCTTTTTGTCTCCTTTTTGTCTCCTTTCTGTCTCCTTTCTTCTGTCTCCTTTTGTTTTTTTGTTTCTTTTTCTTTTCTTTTGTCTCCTTTTTGTTTCCTTTTGTCTCCTTTTGTTTTTTTTTGTTTTCGTTTGTCTCCTTTTTGTCTCCTTTTGTTTTTTTGTTTCTTTTTGTCTCCTTTTGTCTCCTCCTGTCTCCTTTCTTCTGTCTCCTTTTTGTCTCCTTTTGTATTTTTGTCTCCTTTCTTTTGTCTCCTTTTGTCTCCTTTCTTCTGTCTCCTTTTTGTCTCCTTTTTGTCTCCTTTTGTCTCCCTTTGTCTCTTTTTGTTTTCTTTTGTCTCCTTTCTTTTGTCTCCTTTTGTCTCCTTTCTTCTGTCTCCTTTTTGTCTCCTTTGTATAAATAAAAAATGTAAATAAATAAACAAACAAACTAAATAAATAAATATTTATTTATTTATTTATTTATTTATTTATTTATTTATTTATTTATTTATTTATTTANTAAATAAATAAATATTTATTTATTTATTTATTTATTTATTTATTTATTTATTTATTTATTTATTTATTTATTTTGTGTATTGAATGCAGATGTATAGAGATGATGGGGTCTCCTCTATCCACAGATCTCCCCTACTACCTAAAAATAAATAAATAAATAAATAAATAAATAAATAAATAAATAAATAAATAAACTAAAAATAAATAAATAAATAAATAAATATTTATTTATTTATTTATTTTGTTTATTGATGCAGGTGTATAGAGATGATGGGGTCCCCCCTAGACACCGACCAACGTGCTGCTGTTCGTTTTGTGGTGGATTGCTGCTGCTTGCTGCAGCAGCAGCAGCAGAAGCTGCTGCTGCCTCTTCGTCTGTCTTTCAGGGTTTGTTATTCTTATATAACTGCTGCTGCTGATGCTGCTGCAGCACAGCTAGCTAGGCTGTTTATACACCCCAAATCTCTTCTGCTGCAGCAGCAGCTGCTGCTGCAGCAGCGCCAGCTAGCAGCAGAAATCAAAAAGAAACACCCCCTGCTGCTGCTGCAGCGGCAGCAGCAGCAGCAGCAACAGCAGCAGCAGCAGCAGCAGCAGCAAGTCTCTCGCAAGAAGAAACAACAGCAGCAGCAGCAAGACCAACAACAACAACAGCAGCAGCAGCAGCAGCAGCAGGAGGATGAGTATAAAACAAAAGAGAGAGAAGAGCAGCATCAGTTTAATATGTTGCTGCGTGCAGCAGCAACTGGCTCATGCTATCGTCTTGCTGCTGCGCGGCTGCTGCTGCTGCTGCATGCAGCAGCAGCAAACGATGTTGCTGCTCTGGAGAAGTTTATTAAAATTACTTTATTGAGCGCTGATGGGGCTGCATGCAGTATACACCTAAAAAAAATAAACCACGCCCTCTTCGTCATCGCGCTGCAACCCAGTAAACCCTAAACCCTAAACCCTAAACCCTAAACCCTAAACCCTAAACACTAGTGTTTGTGTAGCTCTCTTCGTCATCGCACTGCAACCCAGTAAACCCTAAACCCTAAACCCTAAACCCTAAACCCTAGTNTCTTCGTCATCGCACTGCAACCCAGTAAACCCTAAACCCTAAACCCTAAACCCTAAACCCTAGTGTTTATGTAGCACGCTTTGTTATTGCCCTGCAACCCAGTAAACCCTAAACCCTAAACCCTAAACCCTAGTGTTTATATAGCTCTCTTTGTCGTTGCTCGGCAACCCAGTAAACCCTAAACCCTAAACCCTAAACCCTAGTGTTTATATAGCTCTCTTCGTCATCGCGCTGCAACCCAGTAAACCCTAAACCCTAAACCCTAAACCCTAATTTAATATAGTAGCCCTTATAAATGTTGTTTTTATTTATAAGAGAAATAAATACTGCTGCTGCTGCTGTCTCATCGTCTACTGCATTATATGCTGCTGCTGCTGCTGCTGCTGCTGCTGCTCTTGCTGCCGCTCCTGTTGCTGCTGCTGCTGCTTCTGCTGCTGCTGCCCCTGCCGCTGCTGCTGTTGCTGCTGCTGCTGCTGCTGCTGCTGCTGCTGCTGCTGTGTACAGATTTGTTGTTGGGTCGTGACTTGATCCCTCGTTGCGCTTTTGCTGTTATTCGTTTGCTGCTGCTGTCGTCGCGTGAAGCAGCAGAGAAGAAGCAGAGCCTCAGGCTGCTGCAGCAGCAGCAGCAGCAGCAGCAGCAGCAGCAGCAGAAGCAGCAGCA